GGCCCGGCACGCATATTTTTAGGTCCACCCTGGGTTAGGGGCCACCCTTGGATTCCGGGTATGAATTATCATCACTCGCGAGGCGTAGTCTAATTCGGGCCAAGGCACGAAATGCTGCACACTGCACGAATAGGGGCCAATTCTAGCATCAAGCTAGGTACCTAGGATTAGAAAGGTACGACAACAATTCCTGGAAGTTGCGAGCTGTATATATTTCGTTTCAGCGCTTTTAAAGGGATTGAGAAGCCGTAAAATCGACCGCTTGCGACGGCTAGATCTAGACAGTCCATCGGATATCCATAATTAGCTGTAAATGATATATTTAATTTAATTTAAAGTAGCTTTGATTTCTTGATTACAAAATTATTAATTTCTTTAAAACAAATCGAGAATGAACAGAAAATAAAATAAAATGAATACAAGAACCTATATTTTACTTTATGCTTTTTAAATGTTATAGCGCCAAATTGAATTATAAGCTTCTTAACAAAATCTGAAAACCCAACTTTAAGTGGATGTTCCCCTTTCTGGACCCCGGGAGCGCCTTTTTGTCATGTTCGATCCTGAGGGCAGGAAATTGCTTTTTGAGGGGGTCGAAGAGCAAACTGGCTTCCGGTAAGAGGTCAGAATCTGCATCCGATAGGGCGAAAGCACATAGAAAAAAGTTTAAAAGAAGCTATGACATTATAAATAGCAATTCAAAAGACACCTTATCCAATTAAAGTGCATGAACAAAAACGTCGAACCAAAACTGAGTAAGGTTCCGTCGCTAAAGATCGCGGCTAGGCTACGACTACCTTTACAAAAATGACAAGTGTTTTCTTGGCCCTTCTGCCCTTCTCGGCCCTCGAAAAACACGAAAAACCACCCGGCCCTGCAAAAGCTAATCGCATTGTGGAGGAGAGTTTCCCCTTTCGGAGGGGAGAGCGACTTTTAGGGAGTCTAATCTTCGCTAGACTCTGAAGGGCACTCGTAATTATGTAGCTACACGTAGCTTCTAGGGAAAGCGGGAGCGACAGTGAGAGAGAGAGAGAGAGAGAGAGAGAGAGAGAGAGAGGGAGAGTAAGAGAAAGAAAGAAAAAGATAAAGAGAGCGAGCGAGAGAGCAAGAGGTAGGCAGAGAGAGAGAGAGAGACAGAGAGAAAGAGCGATGAATCTAGTCTTTTTGCCTGATTGGGCATACCCGGAACTCTCATAGCTACCAGAAACGTCTAGCCAAACAGATGGCTTTTGATGAGCGATTGATGGGGCTACGCGGGACAACTATTGACGATGGATGGATGGCTGCTGCAAAAGTTATTATCGACTGGCAGAGCCCCATTCTACTAGTCTACTCTGCCTCTTCCTCAATATCTTTCTCTATCTTTCTCTCTCTCTCTCGTTCTCGTTCCTTCTCTCGCTCTCGCTCTCTCTCTCTCTCTCGCTCATTCTTTCTATCTCTTGCTCTCGCTAGCCACAACAGGGGAATGGTTTAGCAACTATCTGGGGAAAAGATGGCTGATTTTTAAGGGACCAGCAAGGGAATCGTGATTACCGTATTTTCGAGGGTTACGGTATCTTTTGGCTGCAATCTAGCCTTTAGCACTTGCCATATATTCGAAAAAAATGCCAAGCATCGACAGCATTTGGCTTTATAAGGATTAGGCAACGACCTGGCTACCGTACCCGATGACGGTAACGGTGGACGGTAAGCTGCTGTAGACGTCAAGAAAAAGGTTGGATTCTGGGTATGGTGCCGGGCCTTAAATATAATGCTGGATTTTGCACAAAAATTGTGAGCCGAAGTTTAGTTCCCCGGGAGCGACATTTGCTTGCAGGACAATGACGACTAATCTCGAGCTTATTCCAACCCAGAGGATGACTAGATCGGTTGGGGCGCAATTTGAAAAGTTCGTGGTACAAGGTCCAAAATTTATCATTATTATAATGATGAGTAGCGACTACGTGCGACGCCAAATGACACGACCGCGTCATTTTATTTTTGGATCGCTACGCGCGTGATGATTTAGGAAACGCGGATTTCGAAAATGTCTGTTATGTAGCACGAGTTTCTCGGTAGCCTATGTGTCTTCGTTCTACTTTTTGAGCCCGAGTCCAGTTTGTCCGCTTAATTATAATATAATCGCGAGAGACGTCCCAATTATTCCGACTCAACGCCACCGTCGTGAAAAAATAGGGAAAATTGCTCGAAAGGTTGATCGAAGAACCGAAAGGAAGGGACATTGGATGTTGAAATGAACAGAGATCCCTGAAGACATAAAAAATATCAAAGCTAAGCAGAGAATAAGAGCCAGAGTCATAAAACGCGAGATTGAGAACTTGCGAGCGAGACAGCAAGATAGTACGAGAAGGAGAGAAATAGAGCGAGAGAACAAAAAAACGCGGGATTGCGAGAGAACGAGCGATTCAGAGAGAGAACCAACTCTCATTTTCGCACAAAAAATGTGACGATTTTTGTGCCAAAAATTTCTGCGTGTCTGGTGTTCCTCGCCGGCACGTAGATCCGGAACAGATCCCCCTAATTAACTATATACAATGCTAATCCCCATTCATTTCGTCTATCCCCCTGAAAAGCCACCCAAAATTCGGGGGTGCCGTTGGCTAATTCCTTGTTTTTTTCGCGCGCCTCCAAAAGGTGAGGGCCCGGGGCCCGGTGGCGTTAATTGGGAAGTATCCCGCGACGAGGTTTGGCTGAACATTCCGTTTGGCACCTCGAGACACCTCGCAAAATAATCTACTATGCAAAAAAGGGGGTCGGTGATTACGTTAGGTATCCAAAAATTGTAAAATGCGCCGAAAACTGGAAGGAAAATGCTACTCTTGTCGCCCTCCCCTTAATTCTTTGCTAGTCTTAAACGTGGCGTTTTGGATCGTCTCCAAGTTTGTAAGCTGTAAGGAACCATAAAGAAAAATAATGTCACAATTTTGGATTTTCATTGATACTACAAGAAGGAGAAAATATTTTTTTTGGAAACGCGGGACAGTCATGTCAGAAGCAGGCGGAGAAGTTCTTTAGCCGCTGCTAACTAGCTTCTTTAACTAGAGGAGCAACCCCAAAAACAATCCCAAGGACATGGCAAGCTTCAAAGCGGGGTGCGCATCACCAAATCAAGCCAGTTACGCGTAGTGCTTAGAATATAAAAGACTAGAGTTAGCACCGACCGGTTTAACAAGGAAAACGCAGAATCTAGAAAATGAAAACCAGGCAGCTAACTTTATAGAAATGATGTTGAGCTAGAGCGAGAGCGAGAGGGAGAGAGAGTGAGAGAGAGAAAGAGAGAGAGAATCGGTGGTAGGGCGAGACGGAGAGATACATAGAGGGAGAGGGAGAGAGAGAGAAAGAGCGAGAGAGAGAGACATAGAGCTAGAGGGAGCGAGAGTGATAGAGCTTGTGAATGATGCTTCCGCAGTAAAGTACCGTAGCACTGGCTATTTTTTGCAAACTCAAAAGAAAAACGAGCTCGACCGGTGCTCCAAGCTTATCTACTCCTCCGAGTTCTTGGCAACACTTGAAGAATCGCCGAAAAACAACACTCCCCGGGGGACAATCCAATATTCGGGTACCCCTTGCTCGAGCGCCCGAACTTTGCACTCGAACTCCCCGGGGGTGTGTGCGTTCCTGAAAACAACTCGGGTAAATTGTGGGTTGAAAGGCGATCCGGGTAGGGGAAAAGGGCAACTTTTCCCGAAGGTCACACTAGCTGGATAGCCGGATTGGGCTTATTTCCGGAGGCTTTTGCATGGCTAGACGGCGAAGTGGATGTAGAAATCGGGCCAATGGGATCTGGCCACAAGGTCGCGCAGGCTAGCGGGGACGTTTTGGGAAAGTTATGGAAGTATTGAAGAGACTAAAGACATTGGCAAGATCATATTATGCTTTTGCGGTGGTTAAGACACGTAACGCGGCACGCAAGGCATCGGATCGCCTCGCCACGTAGCGGCACCGAAAATTCAAATACGACTACAAGTTACAAAGCGGCTCTAGGTTCAAAAAGCAAAACCCTCGCCACCGGCGGGATTCGAACCAGCACCCCCGGTTTTGTAGTTTGAGCTCCATACCATGTAGCCACGCCCCCAAGGGAGGGCGGAGACATCTAGGCCCCGCCCCGCCCCTCTACCGTCGTACGTGTAGTGCAGAGGTTAGCATATCGGACTCCCAATCCGGGGACCCGGTTTCGAATCCCGGCGCGTGCAACACACTTTTGCTTGTTGCTTTTTTGGTGGAAACAAGGAAAGGAAGATTAGAATTGATTGGTATTGGTTGTAAAGGTTTAGGTCGAACGGGAATTATGGAAAAGCACTAAAAAGAAAGCGGTAACAATGGTAACACTCTCATGGGGTTGAGACTGTTTAAAATCGGTGCTTCGTTTTACTTCTTTTAGAAGCCAGCATACAGCAAAAATTTTGATTATGGGTGAAAGAGCGAGAGATAGTCGAAATCATGGAAGAGGACCAAGATAGCAACCGGGCGTAGCTTTCTATCCAAGTCCGGGTAAATATGGAACTTGCTGAGAGCTAGAACGAGTGGGGACGAGTTGTTACGTAGGCGGCTTTGATGTTTTGCATTCGCATACTCCGTCACCACAACACGTTTTTCAGATGAGCGATGAGCCGAATTCGGATACCCAAGTTGCTTCCGGGGGTCGGCGCTTACGTAGAGCTTTTACTTTTATAAATAGTTTTTGCTTTTGAAAAGGAGCACCAACTGAGGAGTATTGAGACATCAAAAGCTCCAGAATTGGGTTCCGGGCTAAAAAGTTTATACGAAGATCAGAATTTGGCAAAAAACGCTAAAAATAGAAAGAAAACAGAAATATGAATATTTTTCGACAAAAATCCCGCAAATGCTATAATTTAGGCTGCCAAGCTATTTCGCGATATGTCTGTTAAAAAGTAGACTTTTAAATCTAACTTTGCAATCAAAGACAGCAAAAGAAACAAAACTATTTATTACACATTCGACCTTAAAAATAAGCGAAAAAAGCACATAAACAGGGATTATTTGGCCTTCTTCTTCTTCGACGACTTGTTGGACTTGTTCGACTTGTTGGACCGATTGGACTTGTTCGACTTGGAAGACTTGGGTGACTTGGCCGCCTTGTTGTCGTTGCCGGGGCTCCTCTTGATGATGAGGTAACTGGAAAAATAGGAGAAACAATCAATCCGTAGAATTCGAAAATTTAGTTGGATAGAAACCATTAAAAAATGCGCTAAAGATCTAAAGTAGATTTCGCTAAATAGCACAATAAACAAAATCTCTACTCGTTCTTTTTCTCGCTGAGCTTCTGCTTCATCAGCTGCTGCTCGGTCTTGGTGAACTTCTCCCAGGCGTTCGGGTCTTCCAGCTGAAAAAGGCATGATTTTGAAAATTTAAATCATAAAAACTACCATTTAGTGAGTCCAGAAATCGAAGCTTGGTGTACTGTACCCAGCCTCTAGCCTTCTCAGCCCCTTTAAAACCCGCCTTTACCGATTGCGTGGGCCCAAACGTCGGCGGCGGGTCCTCGAACGATTCGGCGGTGCGCATGTTGTGGGGGCTAAAAAGTCGCAAAGGTTAGGCTTAGGTCAACTTAGTCTTAGCTTAGGCTTAGCTTTGGCTTAGCTTAGGCTTAGCTTAAGCTTAGGCTAGACTACCTATTTGCCCATTCAAAATTGCGGAGCATCGTCTTCAGCTTCTTCAGCAGCGGCTTCAGCAGCATCGCCGAGTCGACATCCCGGGCCGAGATTCTGAAATTTACAGCTCGATTTATATAATCACGCTGAAATCTTTGAGCACGAAATTGTCAGCAAATTCAAGGTCGACAACAAGACTACAAGCTACAAATATCCTGGCGGTTCAAAAAGCAAAAGCCGCACCACGGATGGGACCCGAACCCGCACCCCCAGATTTGTAATCTGTCCCCTGCACCATGCAGCCACGCCCCCAGGTGTGGGCGGGGTCATCTAGGCTCCGCCCAGCATCCCTCCCGTCGTACGTGTAGTGCAGAGGTTAGCATATCGGACTCCCAATCCGGGGACCCGGGTTCGAATCCCGGCGCGTGCAACACATTTTTGCTTTTTGCTTTTTGGATGCAATCAAGGGAAGGCATTGTAGAATCGATTGGCATTGACTTTAAAGGTTTTGGGTCTAATGGGAATTACGGAAAAAGCCTAATCCAGAATGCCGTAGCAATGGTAACACTCTATTTAAAATAGGAGTTTTCCAATTTTTTTCTTAGTTTTTCCTCTTTTCGAAGCTAGCAGACAGCAAATATATCGATCATGAAATAAAGAGAGTGAGGAATATGGAAAGAGAGCGAGATAGCGAGAGCTCAATTTGTATCATTTTCAATTAGCAACGAAAAACAAACTTAAAAACGTATTTACAAGCTACTAGTACCATCCATGTTCAAAAAGCAAAACCCTCGCCACGGGCGGGACTCGAACCAGCACCCCCGGTTTTGTAGTTTGAGCTCCATACCATGTAGCCACGCCCCCAAGGGAGGGCGGAGACATCTAGGCCCCGCCCCGCCCCTCTACCGTCGTACGTGTAGTGCAGAGGTTAGCATATCGGACTCCCAATCCGGGGACCCGGGTTCGAATCCCGGCGCGTGCAACACATTTTTTGCTTTTTGCTTTTTGGAGGTAAGGTAGTGGAGGGATAGTAGAATCGATCTGCATTGCTTTTAGGGGCTTAAATTTAATCGGATTATGGAAACTCACAGCAGAGACGGCCGGACTTAGTTTTCTGTATTTTGAAGCGAGAATACAATAAAAATTGAGATAGAGAAAGAGAGCGAGAGAAAGAGAGAGAGAAGAGAGAGAGAGAGAGAGAGAGAGAGAGAGAGAGAGAGAGAGAGAGATCACTAACTTCTCCATGGACTGGATGGCCTTCTCGAGACTGCGGACGACCTTCGGCCCCCACTTCTTCGAGCTGTCCTCCGGCGATTCGTGCGGTTGCGGCGCCGAGGTATTCATTCTGAAAAGAAGCGTGTAATTTGCATAATCTGACATAATTATAGCCTCAAACTTTGCATAAGTCTCACCAAAATGCGTGTGACCAAAACGTATGATAGGTAAGCGAGTAGAAAAAGTGACGAGATGCCCTCAATTTCTCCGCATTTTCGCCAAATCTGTGGATTCAAAAATCAAATTTCAAGCGCCATGTAAAACCTACATGCAACAACCTAATTACAGGTTATGGCAGCACAAGGCGCAAATTGCAAAAAAAACCTACCGGAGGCGTGCATTTCCTTTCTTATTGGCTTCCCGGCCCAGGCAACGGCTAATTTCGCGCACGGCTTTCAACGTTTGGGCGAAATTTCTGATTTAAAGGGGACCTTGATCGGGATTGGTTTCCGCAAATAACTCTGCTCGCCTGCCCGTTTTTATGGGTCAGCTGAGGTTCTCTATAACTTGCGCAATTTTAAGGCTATAACATGAGGTGTAAGCCATCCCGTGATTTTTTTGGAAAACCGAAATTCGGACCTCAGAAAATTGAGAATTTTTTCGTCAGCAGTTTGCTTTGTAACCCACTGGCGTAGCGGCGGTTTCCCAAAGATTTTCTGCTAGTATCACTAGAAACTTTTTGCGGTAATCTATCATCTTTTTGTTTTATCTTTGTCGGTGCATTAAATGTGAGAAGGAGAAGGAAGGAGAGAAGAGCGAAAAAGGGAATACATTTCGATCTTGACCCAAACGGAGGCTTGGCAAAATTGATCAGAATTTAAAAATATGATTCACAAACAAAAACTGGTTTATTTGAATCTTTAAAAGCCCTGTAAAATTAATACGCACTCCTTTTACAGGGGCTACGAAATGCCAAAGATTGAGTGACAGCCCGAAAATCTGGACCCTGTACGTCGGAGGCCTCTGTACACCTAGGGGCGCGGGAAGCTCGCAAATTTGAAATTACCTGTTGTCACCTCGAAATCACGTTCTCGGCTGTTTCTGGGCCAAATTTGATGATTAAAACACCAAAACTGTTTAAAATTGAGTGAGGATTTCAAAAATGGGCTCAGAATGCGCGAATTTTAGTGTTTTCACAAAGAAACCGGGCAAAAACAACTTCGCGCAAAAATCGAAAGAGTGAGGGCTCTCGCCCCGCAGCGACCGCTGGCAATTTGCCAGAAATCAAAGAGACCTCCCAAACGGGCTTTGATTTGGCGGTTCGGAGCCCCTTTAGGCCTACTAGCTGATGGACAAGATAGGGTAACGATCGCGTTGTCGTGCCGAGTTCAAGGTCAACATCGGATTCCACTTTTTCCTCCATGATTGAACTCTTTTAATTTCGCCTACCATTGGCGACATAAACAAACATCTAGTCCAAAGTGGTGCAGTCGCCCCCTTTTCCCCCTTTTCAACACAAGACGCCCGAGATGCAGGTGCTAATTCTTTTTGGGATGTGATTATTGACGCATTTCCTATTCCAAAATGCTTCATGGGAGGTATTCCCTAAAATTTCCCCTTTACAGAATTTTCTCAAATTGTTAAAATCACAAAAATGACCCCCGGAATCAAATTTTGAAGCGTGTAACTTAATTCTCTTGTCTTTGGCCAAAATCAAACAAAAAAACTGGTTTCAGGCCCCTTTAAAAACAATATTTATGCTGACGTTTGATCAATGCGGGAACGAGACGATAATCCTCGCCGCTGCAGAACTGCGGCTACTCTACGCTACCCTGTACGCCATAGTGTCGTCAATAGGATTGGCGGGGAATCTATTTGTATTCGTGATTTTGATACTTCATCACCGACAGTTTATGCCGAATGAGATTTATCACGTGAGTCTAACGGAAAATTTCTGTTCAAAAAATTGCCAAAAATAAATCAAAAAATTTAAATATAAATTTTTGAATGATTGCAAAGGAAATACAGGGTGTCCCAATAAAAAAGGTCACGCTGGCATTTCGCCATTTCAAATCTGTTCGTTCTGAAATTTGGAACAGAGCTGCGGAAGGGAATTTAAAATGTTCACAGAAACTTTCAGCCCGATCGGTACGGTAGTTTTCGAGTTATAACAAAAATACTGTTTTTTCAACACTTTTGCTTCATTTTTTTGGCTATCTTTTTGGACTTTGCATCAATTACCATCAATTTCGGCCCTAAACCTCTCATTCTTCTTAACATCGGGGATGATCACGCCTTGTTAAAATTACTTAAACAACCTATTTCCAAGACGAATTTTTCGAAACAAAAGATTTTCTGGGGTAAAAAAGGGTCGGCGCATCATTTTCGCCATACATTCCAAGGCTCAATTCCGGCGAAATCCAGGCAAAAAACGTAAAATAAAGCTTATTTTTGTTATAATTCGAAAACTACTGTATCGATCGGGCTGAAAGTTTCTGTGAACATTTTAAATTCCCTTCCGCAGCTCTGTTCCAAATTTCAGGTCGATCGGATTTGAAATAGCAAAATGCCAGCGTGACCTTTTTTATTGGGACACCCTGTATAGTACCATGAAGTAATTAATCTTCCAGCTTGAATAGATAAAAAATAATTTATAAAAATCTTAATTATTTTCAGATCAACCTCTCGATGTCATTTGTCTGCTTCTGGTACCTCATGGACAATTTTATCGTTGCAATTCCAGGTAATTCCGGGCTTTGGAAAATGATCCTTTTCCTAAATACTTTCTGCTAGCCTGTCTGGAATTCAAATTAATTTAGTGGTACTCGAGAGCTACGGCTTCATCTCAAACCTACCGGAGATGATTTTCGCCGCCCGTCTCAATACGACTACTTACTATTTACACCAAGCACTTTTGTTGGTGATCTCCATTGATAGATTTCTAGTGTTATGCACTCATATACCTTACAATTATATTAAACAGATTACGGTAGGTTTTATTGTATAGTTTTGCCAATCCCAGCTACGATACAGTCTTATGAAATGGAGGAACAAGCTTTTAGGGTACGCTCCACGTCGTTGCATATCTCTATTCTGCGTTGCTAACGGCACTACCGGAGGCGTTCGGATGTTTTAAGGTTTTTAGGTATCGATACCGTATTCCTTTCGAACGTTGCTTTGCGTCGGTCGAATTTTTTTGACAAGTTCGCCGAAAATAGCCAACAGCTGATTGTCAGCATACTTGGAAAAATCTATTTTTGTTAAGGGAATTCAGCTTGCAACGACGCGTTTTTAGCTAGGGCTCGAAAATCTAGTTCCGTCTCTCTCACTCACTCTAACGCGCTTTCACTCACTCGCTTTAATTCTCTCCCTCTCGCTCTCTTTCTATCTCGCTCCTCTCTCTCTCTCTCTCTCTCTCTCTCTCTCTCTCTCTCTGCCTCCTTCTGCTCCATTTTTCTCTCGTCAGGATGAACGTCAAGATGGAACACACCGATTTAAACCAGAAAATTTTCTGAAAATTTCATTTATCTTTTTAGCCCCCGCTCCCTCGTCTTCACTTTTGGCTGTGGGAATTGTGGTGGGGCCGTGAATATTTACATTATAGCAGGTGGGTGATCCGGCCGGGCCTTTGATTGATGAAAAATATAAGGACAAAGGGAATGGAAGTGAAGCAGCTGCTACTTTTTCTGACAAAAACCTGACTAATGTTGTATGAAAAAAATCACAGATTGATCTTGGGTGAAATCAGAAATCAAAAAAGACGGATAAAAGGGTTCTTTGGGGTTTCCGGGGGGGTCCAATTTTTTTCTGGCTGTCCCGGTTGACCTAGCAATCAAATATAAAGTGTTTTCACATTGCTTTTAGTAAATTTTAACTATATTGAAACCAAAAAAAAACTTTCAAAAAATTAGAAAAATGTTTGAAAAAGCCGAAAATTTGGTCATTTTGGCTCTTTGTTTCGGATTTTTCGAACTAAGACTAAATTTTTTAATTAAATTTTGTAAAGTTTTCATGTTTAGGAATAGCTATAAAAAATTTAGAACCGATATAAGAGATAAATAGCCTTGCAGCGGCAACGCGCCGAATTTCAAAATCTTCAAAATAATCAAAATCAGAAAAATATGTTGTAGAAGAGCTGACGCTGATTTTCAGGCGAGGTCGTTCCGGCATTAATGATCATCTTCTACGTTGCCATTTTGTCGAGATTACGAGGGATTTCGAGAAAACGGGTAGAACACGTGAAGCGCGACATGAGATTGGTGAGATTAATTTGGATGCAAATTTGGTGCTAGCTAGCGGAGCTTTGTGATTCTTCCGAAACGGATATACGAATTTTGCTAAGCACTAATAGCTCTATAATTTTTATATTTAGGCCCTCCACTGCCTGCTCGTGTGTCTGTTCTCTTGGTCGTCGTCGTTCATCTTCTTTCTGCTGCCGAAAGTCTTCCCAAACTCGATCGCATCTGCCTTCACGACATCAGTGACTTCGGCTATTGCTCTTTCAGCAAATCCGATAGTTTTATTGATTTTTAATGACAAGGCAAGTTCTAAACACCGGCAATAACTTTCAAACTGTAAAAAAAACTTGCAGAAAGTAATTACAGCGTTATGTGGGTTTTCAAAATTTCAAAGATGGGGAGAATGATAAATCATTGAAAGAGTTCGAAGGACCCGTTTTTCTTGGCATCTATAACGGCAAAATCAAAAAAATTGAGTTTAGAGTAACTATGAGAATCGAAGTGTTGAAAATTCAGGTAAAAATGCTCATAAGCCACATCGTAAGTTACCGTATTATACCAACCTACCGTAATCCAAACCATTGTAAACCGTTTATTTTCAGGTAAAAAACGTGGTGCTGCAACTCTGTGCTTTAATGTTCCCAACAGCCGGTTTCGATCCGACTTCAACATCGCCGAAAGCTTCAAATGGTGTCATAAATGTAGTCGACAGACAGATTGCAACGAAATAAATTTTTTTGCATAGATCACGAAAAAACCAAATCGAGGAAAAAGCTCCAATTTTGTCTAGCAAACACCCCAATCCATGCTGAACCCCTTGTAGACAAGGGAGTAGTCGGTGTAGAAGAACATTGTCAACACGTTTCCGGTTGTTTGGCGCGTTGAGGGGAGTGCGACCGAGTGGCCGGAGAAGCTGAAGAAAAGGCATATACAGGGTGTCCCAAAAAAAACGACCCATCTGGCATTTCGCCGTGTTACATCCAATCGGCCCCAAATTTGGACCAGATATGTATCAGACCCTAAATAACAACAATCCTGACTTTTAGCCCCGTAGCTACAGTAGTCATCGAGTTATGGCAAAAACAAACTTCATTTTCCATTTTTCATTGGGTTTTCGTGGAATTAGATCCCCTTAACATTAAGTGAAAATGATCCGGCAGGCCTTCATTGCCTTAAGAAATTTTTTCCAGAGTAAAATTAATTAAATAAGCTTCGAATTAAGCGATTTTTACAACACAAAATTACGCAAGTTCTTAAGCAAAATTAGGGATTCACAGCCGGAAGCCGATGCAAATCGATGCAAAGTCCAAAAAGATAGCCGAAAAAACTTTATAAATTCCGGGAAAAACAGTATTTTCGTTACAACTCGAGAACGACTGTAGCTACGGGGCTATAACTCAGGATTGTTGTTATTTAGGGTCTGATACACCTCTCATCCAATTTTGGGCCCGATTGGATGTAACACGGCGAAATGCCTGATGGTTCGTTTTTTTTGGGACACCCTGTATATTGCTCTATATCTCTATCTTTATCTCTTCCTCTCTCTCTCTCGCTCTTTCCCTCTTTCTCTCTCTCTATCTTACTCTCTCTCTCTCTCTTTCTCTCACTCTCTCTCTCGCTCTCTCTTTCTCTCTCTCTCTCTCTCTCTCTCTCTCTCTCTCGCTCTCTCTCTCTCTCTCTCTCTCTCTTTCTCTCTCTCTCCACTTACTTCCCAATCAGCGGATACGTCGAGTTTGGCCCATCATACATCTCCAGCCGATCCTTGTTTAGCTCGGTGTCAAAGTAGCTAAGGCTGGTGCAGATCTAAAGACGTTTAACGCGTACTGTACACCATCAAGAAAGGTTTTTTAGGTTACCTGCATGCCATCCGGCGCGACGGCCTGATAATACTGCTCGAGGTTGTTCATGTACTGGCCGGGGTAATTCGGGCTGGTCATCGTGCCCGAGGAGCCGTTTTGGTAGACCGGAACTTGTGGAGCCCTGAAAATGGTTTTGAAAGTCGTAAAATTTTCATAAATTCAATGTACTGACAAGCCCCACAAACAGCCCTTTCCCATCTCAGTAGCTATTTAAGTCATTGGATATGTAGTAATGTTTCGTTTTCTTACCTTGAAAATACGAAAATCCTTTTAAACTATCTGTTTTGATACTTTTCCCTCATTTCCAGCACGCCGAAAGCTCTATGAAAAATCCCTGATAATTCTGTCAACCCTACCCTTCCTTCCAACAAAAAAAGCAAAAAGCAAAAATGTTTTGCACGCGCCGGGGTTCGAACCCGAGTCTCCGGATTGGGGGTCCGACATGCTAACCTCTGCACCACACGTACCATGGGATAGGGGCGGGGCGGAGCCTGGATGACTCCGCCCTCCCCAGGGGGCGTGGCTACATGGTATTGGGGCGGGGTTCCAAACTGGGGGTGCGGGTTCGAGTCCCGCCCGCGGCTTAAGCCTTGCTTTTTGCATCGGGACGGTTTTTATAGCTCATAGAGAAGCCCGTTTTCAACATGTTGAAGATAAAACCCACAACATCTTGTACGACGCTGACCATCCCTTGTAGTTGACGATGCTGTCGCTGATGAACTCGATGGTCATGATGTTGGAATAGGTCTAAAATTCGGTTAGGTCAAGGTTCTCTGGAATCTGGACAACCTGGAATCCGTCTTTGTATTGAGAAACGGTGGCATTGGTGGGATCGACGCTAATGCTAAAACAACCATGTAGTCTTTTTTTTACATTTGTAAACCGCATTGTTTGATAAGATTTTTCGGAATTTCTGAATTTTCTAATACAAATAGAATTGAAATGTCAAAAGAAAAGCTCCATCAATTTTTCCTCGAAAAATTCAGTTTTCGAAGCTCGACTCACTTTGCGATAAGTTGAGCATTCACGTTCGGGGCATAACCATCCCAGATGAGCACGACGTCGTAGTTCCTGGAAACGACAATTTTTCTATTTCTGTCACTCTTCTCTCTCTCTCTCTCTCTCTCTCTCTCTCTCTCTCTCTCTCTCCCTCTCCCTCTCCCTCTCTCTCTCTCTCTCTCTCTCTCTCTCTCTCTCTCTCTCTCTCTCTCTCTCTCTCTCTCTCTCTCTCTCTCTCTCTCTCTCTCTCTCTCTCTCTCTCTCTCTCTCTCTCTCTCTCTCTCTCTCTCTCTCTCTCTCTCCCCTCACCTCTCGACAAGCCAGGCGTTGAACGTTAGCGTCACGTAGTATCCAGCGGGTGCAACAATGTATTGCCGGCAGTGCTCGTTGTTGGCATAATTCAGCGGGTAATTTGGAGAGGTTACAGTTCCGGTGCTTGTCGTGTAGTTCTTACTCGGGCAGCTGAATTATTTCCGTAAAACGTTAATCGTTAAAATTCGGCTTCAATGAGAACCTCACAACATGCCAGCCAGCTTTTTCAGCCGATTTTGGCTCGGAAAGGATACGCTAGAGGACAGAGTTCAGAGGAGCGTATCGTATTCGAGAAGCGGGCGGTAGCGCAAGGTTTTCAAAACGCACGTAGCAATCTTCTGGGAGCAGAGGAAGGGCTGAACATATTTGCAGCTAATGGCGGCAAGTCCGGTGGTTTGGACGCCTCCACAATTGCCCGTGCCGGCGGCAGGTTGACCTGAAATAAAGTCGGGATTTTAACCAGCTCTCTCCCTCTCTCCCTCTCACTCTCTCACTCTCTCTCTCTCTCCTACCTGGAGCCCATTGTCCAGCTAAATACAGGGCCGATGTCTTGTCGATGAACTTCCAGCTAGCCGTGGCATTGGTTCGGAAAAGGCCGGTCCACGCCGGATATAACGGCGCAGTGACAAGTTCTGAAAATATGGTAATTTAAAGAACTAAGAAGGGCACGGATCTACTCCCAACAACTTGGCGCTGACAGGTAAACGAGCTTCCCGGCCCCTTTAAAAGTACATCCACTTACTTTGCAGCTGCGGCAAAATCGACTTGTTGTAGCTGCCGGCCAGCTGCCCACCGACGGATTTGCAATACGCTTGCGAGTCGTCCCAGCTCTGAAAAGCGCTATTTTTCTCGGAGTTTTAGGCTTTCTGAGCCCCGGCGTGAATATCGCTGGATACCTTACCGTACGCACTTTGTTAAAAAATATAAGCCACAATTAAAAAACATTCAAAAATATACATTATAAAAGTAGAAAATCGCAATAACCGCAGTATAACCCACCCTGTACGTGTTACCGGAATACCAAACGCATAGATTCGAAATTTGGGTCCAGTTTGAAGGGCATTGAGCGGCGGCTCCTAGAATATATGCTTTTTTCATTAGATTACACCATTTAATTACCAATATATTTTTATGCAAGAGTAGAATAGTTTCGTAAAAGACTTTTTAAGCGGATAAATCTGAGATATCACTCACCTCCCACGAACGCTAACGCAAAAATTAATAAGATTAATTTAGCCATAGCTCCAGGGGGCGCAAAATCCTGCTGCCGCTGCTTATCACCCAGCCCATAGGCCCCGCAGGAATCCCTGAATTTACAACTCTGTCCAAAAATTACGGCCCTTTATCGGGAGGAGCTGCGTAGAAAAGGGGCTCGGGCGTGGCAAGGGTTTCTTGAATAATCGCCATGTGATTTTTGCTGTTTTTTAAAGGAACTGGAAAGACAAGAGCGAGAGATAGAGGGAGCGAGGAGAGAGAGTGAGGAGAGAGACATTTGCGTGAGAAAAAAAAGATGCGCAAACTATGATTCAGAAGAGGTCGTGCTCGATTTAATGAGCCTTAACCAGTATGCCTATTTTGCATTTTCGTCATAGCTTTATTAATCATAAACTTAAACATCTTTACAAGTGAAATTCTTGAGATCAAAGCCCGGCAGCCGGGTGGCCCGTTGATAGCGATTCTTAAAAATTTGATTTTTGAAAATTTATGCTTTCTCTCCCTCTCTCTATCTCTCTCTCTCCTCTCTCTTCTCTCTCTCTCTGCCTCGCTCTCTATGACGCCTTCCTCCTCTCTCGCTCTCCATCTCTCCTCTCTCTCTCTCTCTCTCTCTCTCTCTCTCTCTCTCTGAAAAAGTTTCTATTTTCATACCCCTGAATGATTGGCGATATGCTCGACGTCGAAATATTCATCGCCTCCATGTGTTCGGTTAAAAAGACTCTCGGCCATGCACGTTATTGCAGCAAAATCGAAGGACCCGATGAACTTGTTGAGGGAGATGACACGACGGGCGGTGAGCCTGGAATATTTTTTGACAGTCAGGAAGCGAGATAGATTGAGGGAGGGAGTGAGGAGCGAGAGGACGAGTGAGAGAGATCAGCGAGAGAGAAAGCGAGAGAGAGAAAGAGAGCGCGAAAATGAGAGACGGGTGGAGATAGAGAAAGAGAGAGAGAGAGAGAGACAGAGAGAGAGAGAGAGAGAGAGAGAGAGAGAGAGAGAGAGAGAGAGAGAGAGAGGGAGAAATGGAGAGAAGCATAGATCGCTGACCTAGCATCCTCTAAATCCTCAATCCCGTATAAACATATCATATGCCGCTCATTGCAATTTTTATGTCCCTCGAAAGACCATCGGGTATGTCTGAAAATCATTAAATCTATTCAGATAAGGGATTTTAAATTTAAATTAAATTTAGATGTTGATCTAGCGATAAATCACTATGTAAAATACTAAGTTTATCTGATTACCTTGTTATATAAGTAAAGAAGCCATCAGGTCGATTTTTCATGCAAGCACTGTGATACCCTCCTGGCATTCGCAGCGTTTCGGAGTTCAGAAATGTGGCAAAGAGCTGCTCATCGACAGAGTGGTGCTAAAATTCTCGGAACATTTTGATTTTTCAGCAGTTTTTTTGGGAACTCCTAGGCTGATTGGCAAACCCGCAATAGAGATTTTGGATCGGGAACTTACTCCGTTATTAAAATGGTCCATCAGTGTCGTGACATTAATTTCCTTGACTAACCATTGGATGGCTGGCCTTCTGTAATGCCATTTTAAAGGGGGAGTGACAGCAATTGAAATCCTATTTCGAACCTGACTCACATATAAGTGGCTTCTTCCAGGCCCTTTGCAAATTCTAGCCTAGCATTTTTGCGCTCGTCGAAGGTTAGAGTCGTGTCTAGAAAAAAACTGCATCTTACAGTGAGAGAGAGAGAGCGGGAGTGAGAGAAAAAGAGAGAGGGAGTGAGAGCGAAAGAGAGATAGAGAGGGAGAGAGAGAGAGAGTGATAGAGGATAGAGAGAGGGACACAATGAAAGCGAGACAGAGAGAGACCTACAATTTGTCCACAAATTTAAGTCTTTAACGTCGAAAGATAGACCCGGCGGTACTCGATTCCATAACATGCCACTAAGATTTGAATCGTTAGTCCCGTTTAGAAGCTAAAAAAAATGCTTGAATGATTTTATGCAAAACCTGGTGCTAGTGATGCTAATGTTTACCTTGAGCATCTTCATCAACTCGGAATTGGTGTGCGCCACCAGGTCGTGAGCCTGTAGTAAAATCAAGTGCTCCCATCCAGGCTTTTCCAGCAGTATTTCCATACATTTCAAGTGCGCAATGTTGTTGTTTTTGCCGTCACTGGTCACGTTGTATTGTTCTAAAAACGCGCAATCGGTCTTTTCTCTATCTTTACATCATTAAAACCCAAATAAATTATTTGGCCAAAAATTTAATTGATTCTAGGCGACAGTTAGTTTTTACGAACTGGTCTAAAAAACTAAAGTTTAAAAATTTAAATTGCACTCGTTTCTACTGCGATAATTTAAATCCTATTTTTAGCAAACCATATAATGGTCGCGATTAAATTACCTTTAGTCACATAAATATTCGGAAAGCATTGCTCCAATTTTGCAATCTGATCCTTGAATTTTTGAGTAGCTTTGACGTCGACGTGATAGCAGTAATGATTTTCGGGACTGTACGTCGCTGACAACAGAATTTGGAGCGACTCGTAGTCCTGAAAATATTAGGCTTAGGTACTACGGTATTCGAGTAACTCACCGCATAAATATTCCTTGCAAAAGCTATTGAATAGTTCAGATACGGCGCCGGGTGGTCGCCAATAATTCGATCTCGAAGTTTTCGACAGCTGTCTTCAAATGGTTCTTCCTGAAAGAAGGAAACTTATAAGATTTAAGACAATATTAGGTGATAAAATAGAGTTTAAAGGGTTTTGGAAGCGCCAGAATTGACCCGATCGCGCCTGGGTTCGACATTACTATGATATATGCAAAGACAGCTCGAAAATAGCATTTAGGTTTTTTTCCCATGAATTCATGTTTCTACTGGATTGAAAAATATATTAGGCCGGATTTTGGCGTGTTACGTATCTGTCGGCACCTAGCCGAAGGAAGCGGTAGTTTACGCTTTCCTAGTCCCTTTAAAATAGTCAAGAAATTGCTGCTTTTCTAAAAATGTCTACCAAAAACCAATTAAATTTTGCCAAAAAAATCAACCAAATGCGACTTCCTAGAAATAATGTAATTAAACTTCAGTATAAATACCTAGATTTTTGTGAAATGCATTTAAATATCGTGAGCCGAATCCAAGTTCCAAATCCAGCCAAATTTCTGGGCTTCCCAGTCCCTTTAAAGCACTATCCATACCTTTGCCACGATCCTCGGCAGCAGCTTGTTATCCAACGATCTCTTGATCAGCTTATTCGTATAGAGCAAGCTTTCCAAATATTTCTCATCTTTCTCGAATAGTCTTCGGCAATCGATATGCGATACATAGTCTGGTTTCCGGAATTTCGGATGCTCAGAATGGTAGCCGTGATGAACCGGCTTGGAGAATCTGTGTTCTAGAAAAAGACTAATTCTTAGAGTTGTTATTCGACCCGGGTCGAAATGGTCGAAACTTTTGTAGGCTCCCGCAGCGAAAACTTTGTAAAATTCATAACTTTTTTCTAAAATAGAATTCCGCTATTTCGTCTTCATTTTTGATTCTGGGAGATCATTTCCTACATTTTGAGTCCTTAAACTATAATTTTTCATGCTAGAATCAGAAAGAACGGCATACCATGGCAGGGGGAAGTGGTTCCGAGAAATGGCCGCGCGCGGAACAAGGCAAGCAGGCCGTTCTTCATGATTCTAGCATGAAAACTTATAGTTTAAGGACTCAAACAGTAGGAAATGATTTCCCAGAATCAAAAATGAAGACGAAATAGCGGAATTCTACTTTCGAAAAAAGTTATGAATTTTACAAAGTTTTCGCTGCGAGAGCCTACAAAAGTTTCGACCATATTCGACCCGGGTCGAATAACAACTCTACTAATTCTTCAAGTTTTGTAAATCCTACCAATCTGTCTAACCGTAAATATGAAAGCCCCGACAGCGGCGGTGACCAAAAATAGATTCGTGGAGAATCTACGCCATCTGAACATTCGATGGTGAGGACCTGGAAAAATAAAATATATTTTTTTGAAAGCGAGAGCCTGGGCAGGTTTGAAAATGCAATGAATAAAGCATGAAGTTACCGACCGCTCAAAACTGCAAAAGGCGCTCGGTAAAGTTCGATTTTTTAACCCACAGGCAAGCGAGAACGAGAGAGAGAGAGAGCGAGAGAGAGCGACAACGAATAATTAGAGATAGAGGGAGATAGAGAGAGCTAGATAGATATTGACAAAGTATTTTCTAGAGAGAAAGATAAAGGAAAAACTATTTTTGCAAGTCACTTTTTCGAAAATCATTTAACAAAAAGTGATATCTCCGAAAAGCCACGTTTCGAAAATTAAATTCTCGCTAATCAAAATTTCGAGTTTTAAATTGTTCTTTCATACCCTTTGCGGCCATTTCATATTGATAGCTTGGCGCAAATTTTTCCAACTCCTGGTTTTGGAAAACTAATTTTCGAAAATATGATATTTCGGAAATACGATGTTACGGAAAAAGGATTTTCGACAAAGTGATTTTCGGAAATAGGATTTTTGGATAGGTTTATGCAACGGAAAATGTGTATACAATCCATTTTTTCTAAGATGTGGGATCCAGAACTGAAAAAAACGGCACAAAACGCGACCAGAATCATGCACGCCCACCGTCCTCGGGAACCGGGAATCCGTGAAATTCAGCACAGGGTTCCAATTTGGTTTCCGGCACGTTTCCACTTTGGTAAACCGGGCAATAAAGCCATGACGTAGTCGAATTCTATCCTTTTTTATCGTCCCAAAATTTGGCGAGTGCTGTTTATTTGCGTAGTGCAATGTGACAATCCGGATCGGCTGACTCGGTGAAAAGCAGGGTGCATCGTCGTCGGCTGAACAAAGTCAGGGCCCCCAAATTTCGGCCCTCGCCGGAATAGCATCATCAAAAACAAAGCCCACCACGGCGGATGAACGAAACGATCGGGCGAAAGCCAACTGGCTGCGGCAAAACTTTCCGCACTTCCTGTTGAGGGCACGGCGCTGGGTTGGACCTCATAGAATAATTTACTGTATTTTTATTCTGCTTCCAAAACCAGAAATCAGTACCTGCTTCAGAATTCTGCTCTTTCTTGAACGGAGCCAAATTTGAACCAAATTCGAAACACGGTTGAAGCATTATTTTGGTTCTGGAAGCCTTTGAGCCTGATTCTATTGGTGAATTCTAACTTTGGCGGTCTACTGATTCTCGGCTGTTCTGGATTGATATTCCGCTGTTGATCCCTGATTTCCAAGCGCATCTCAATTCGCTCCCTCTTTCAAATCAGACCCCGTCTGCATTCTGACTTTTGAGCTGCTTTTCTAAGCTGATCTGAAGTCTCTCAGAGTTCTTCTGAGTATTTCTGAGCTCTTCTGCATCAGCTCTGACCTAAGCCGACGCCTACATTTAAGACTACGCTATGAGACCTTGGACGTGCGCTTCTGCTCTGTTATTACCGACCATTCCACTAGTACTACTCCTAAATCATGTCCTTATTGATCGACAATCAATTAGCGAGAGGCTCAGGTAATTTTTGAGGGGGTACGATCATTACTTCTCAAACCATTACTTCTAAAATCATTACTTCTAAAGTTACTTCTAAAATCATTACTTCTAAAATCATTACTTCTAAAGTTACTTCTAAAATCATTACTTCTAAAATCATTACTTCTAAAATCATTACTTCTAAAAGTCATTACTTCTAAAGGCATTACTTCTAAAAACGATACTTCTAAAATTTGGTACGCCAGATTACCATTTTTTCGGCACGTTTGGCCATGTTTATGCCCAAAACGAGGCTTAGAATTTTAGAAGTAATGGCTTTTACACTAATGGTGGGTAGCCATTTTGAGGTTTAAAAGGACTGGGAAGGCCATTAGTGTTACTATTTAATGCTGGTGCTGAGAATTTGCGAGAGATTTAACGATGGTTCTACTTCCGAATCCAATTAGGGTCTCCCGAATCCTGAAATCCTGGAACCCTCGAACCTGGGGGTAGTGGAAAGCAATGATGGCCGAAATTACAAATTCAACAAAATCCCTGCTGGACGCTTTTTATGCTACAAAGCTTTACAAGAAACTTGATAGTTTTCAAAAACTACCTGATGGCTCTAGCGATAGTCTCGTCAGGTAGGAGTGGAGGAATCCACAGAAAACTTATACAGAAACTTATAAACTGCAACGTAAGGGTGTGTACGGAGAACAATGAACTAATCCCCCAATCGACCAAGGGGCCGGTGATTCCGAAAAATCTTGACGAATTGGCTGGGTGTACCCCAAATGAACCGGGGAGCAACCGGCAGCAACAAAAATGTTGGGTTTTCCATGAGAACCAACGTTTCTCAACAGATAACATCCAGGTTTTGCTGGTTTTGGAGCATGAAAAATACGCGAGTGGTCAATTTTTACATGATTTAATAAGCATAAAATTTTTAATCGACACTTCCATCCTAAATTAGGTATTGTCACCAATTTTCAGCCAATTTGGTGCAGTAGTTTTGGAGATAATTTTTGAGGGTCGGCCACTTTGACTCCAATTTTAACCCCAAAAATTAACTTTTTAAACTTTCAAAACTATGCAGCCCTACTAATTCGACCATGCTCTTTCAGATGCCGTCAAAAAACGGGGACGAAAAAAACTGTGCCAAGCATCGTTCGGTCCTCTCGCAAACGGCCTTTTAAATCTCGTTGATCACAAGCCGACCAGCAGCGTAATAAAACTCGGTTTCACCACGAAAACACTGAAATTTATGGGATTCGGCGCCACGGCAGGAGGTTGAGATGAAAAAATAGCATTTTTGTATAACACTTAATAAGTTACTTAAATAATGGTGATTTTGGCACCTCAAACCAAACTTCTCCGTTTTTACGACTTTGTGCCCCAGACCTTACCGGTTTCTATTCTGTAAGTTTGTGTGTTCATTAAAATCAAATGGGCGCTAATTGCAATGAGTCATAGGCCGGGAGCAGGCGCGATAATTCTGGAATGGCGGACGCTTCAAAGGGCGATCTCCGGCTGTTGCTGCACGTCATTTCGGCTTACGGTTTGTTAGCCAAGTGTAGTCGCGGATTTTATATGACTCCGCCCCTTTTGTGCCACTATAAAGCTAACGGGTTAGCTTACTAGTTTGACACGCCATCCAAATCCTTCCAAGTCTTTTTATCGATACCTATAGCATTCTCAAACACCAGTATTCCAAATTTTCCAGAAATTGTATTTTTAGAAATATGGAATTTACAACTCTCGAATTTATAAATAGCCCAAAAATTTTCTTGGAAAAATGTTCAAAAGATAAAGTTTTGCATAGGACCATAAATGCCTAATAACGTAATATTAAGCAATTTCATAGCCTTTTTACTAAAACTGTGCAATGTTTGAAGCGGAAAGCCGTCTAAATTTTGACTATCTAAGAAACCTGGACATATGCCAAATTTGGACGCACAGTTTTGGCCAAAAACACAGATTTTTGTATAACTTAAATACAAAATTCGACAGTTTAGTGCTATTAGTAATTAAAAAGGGTAGAAAAACCCTCTTATATTTGTTGTTAAAAGTTGATTTTTCTAAATATTGCTAATGCGAAAGGATCGGAAAGAAGGGTTGACAAAATTCGAGGCTCTAAAATTTTTCAAATTTCGGGAAACCGAGATTCTAAAAATTCCAAAATCTCATTTTCAAAAATGCGAACGGTTCCTCTTTTCCACATGCCATCCCAAGCTAGTTTCGGCTTCGATGTGTGTGTTTATTTTACTTTTAGAATTTTGGGAAGTTGAAATCACTTTCAGCATCGACGATGCCTTACCAAGGGAAAACAAAGGCAAGCTCTGTTGGAGCGGACACGCCCGCTGTCCTGAAAGGCGAACAACATGGTGAAGGCAAAAACTCCACCAACAACCAGGACAATACCAAATACACCTTCCCCAACTACCATCGTAAGTTTTTTTGGCGAAAACGACAAGTCCAATAAAGAAGACGCATGACAGGCGCAAAATTGGTAAAACTCCACCCCCGCCCCGCCGGAGGTTCCCCGATATTTTTGCTATATCGTTTTTATTTTACAGGATTTTGAGCTGCTTTTAAAACTCTGCGTATACTTTTTGATGCTCTATCGAATGGCGGCGCGAAAATCCCTACAAAACACTTTCGGAAAATTTTGGGATCCTGGTTGGGGAGGGGTGGGGGGTAAAGTTACTAGCCTAAAAACCAGTTACTTTGACTGTTTTAGAGCAGCCGACTCCTCATATGCAGAACATCTCCGACCACACCAGGGGCCATCTGAAACAGAAGCGGGATGCGTCGGTGGACAAGAAGTGGGTCAACAAGAAATAGGCGCACGCCTTCGAACGTTTATGTTTTTTGGCTGTGTCTGTGTTGGATAAAAATATTGTGGCAACAAAGCCGAAAACGAATCCTAACCTAAGCCTACGCCTGGAAAGAGGGAATCCAGGGTAAATAACCATAGCTTATTTTTTTTAACGGAACATGCCTGCAGAGACAGCAGCGTAGCTTCGTGGTTAAAAAGGTAATGAAAAAACCTAGAAGAACCTACGGTAGAACCCATCTACAAATAAAAGATCTACGGCGCCGCGGCGCCGGTTATCAGCCCCAGCCGCTTACGTCTCGGCACTGGACCCTGAAAAAGAAGGGTGCAGAGCCCACCCGGTAAATAATCCGGGCCCAAGTGATAAAAATCTATCGTGTCAGCACCGTAATCTTACGCGTTGCATTAGCAGTAGAAACGCGAGACAGAGAGAGCGAGGGAGGGAGGGAAAGGGGAGAGAGGAGAGGGAAATAGAGATAGTTAGAGAAGCGCGCGAGAAATATACAGAAGAGCACGTTGTTTCAAGCTTTTGCAATGTATTCCCGTTCATTTTGTCAGCCTTTTTGTAAAGGCGATTTCAAGTGCGCTTTTTCCGAGAAAGAGATGTCATGGAAACAAGATTTATCGGGGAAAAAGCGGATGGTCTAGCGGTGCGCCCAGTCCAGCAGCTGCTCACATTCCTCCTCATCTTCCAGGTCCCAAGCCGATTCCGACGGGTCGAAGTCGGGAGGCCCCGGGTCGCTCTCTAGAAAAATATCGTAATAGCGTCAATTTTATAATAGCAGGACTGAAAGTCGCGCTAATAAAGTTTTTTTTAATTTTTTAGTCTGAAAAATGGCTTGCCATCAAATTACTTACCCGAGTCGTCGGGGTCCCAGGTACTGACGTAGGGTTCTGAAATTTAGAAAATTTGTTGAATTAGAATCTCAATATGTTGATTAACATCGTTTTGATTGAAATAAAAAATTTTAGTAGAATTTCCCTCGCCCGATCGGGCTGCTATGAAGAATCCTTAAGCAATAGCATCGAAAATTTTGATTTTGCATCTAGAGGTGCTCTATTTACCGGCATTTTACAAAAACATTTAAATTTGTGTTTATTTACCTTCTTCATCCTCGTCGTCTTGGTAGTATGGGTCTACGGCTGATACTGAAAGTGAAATTTTTTTTTGACATCGCCGATTATATTTGTTGATATCATGAATTCTAATTAATTACCGTAGTCGTCGTCGTCGTCCGGCTCGGTGTCTTGCACTGCTGGTACTGAAAATGGAGTAATTACTGGTTCAAAAGTAGTTCCTCCTTTTTGTGATATCGCCTGGGCCGTGGCATACCTTGCGAGTTCATGTCGAGTTGCGAGAGGTGCTCGGCAAGTTCAGAATCTAAAAATTGTCCTGTTCCTGGATAGGATCATGTTGTGAAAACCGGATGGGCTAATGCTTCGTAAAACAAAAATCCCAATTTTCAAAAAAATTAGAATTTTTGGGGACAAATTTTTTACCCCTTTAAAATTTATGCGAGCAGATGTTTTGCAAAACGCTTACCATCGTCTGCTGACTGAACAACCGATACTGAAACTGAAACTGAAACCGATAGGCACCGGTCATCATTATTATCAGCCTAAACAATGAGAATTAAATTCTTGGGAAGCATACCATTATCGTAGCGTAGCTTGGATTTACGCAACTTTGTTGTAGATTAACTGTAAAAATCGACTTAGGAGGGATTCGGCCAAAATCAAAGAAATAATTTGATATTTCTGACGGAAAATAGCAATAAACTGAGAGTTTTAGGGGAAGGGTACAGTAATCTGGGCGGCGCCCTATCAGCGCCTATTTATGCGGCCGGGGCAAAGGGGGAGTGGCTGGTTGGGGCTATGCGATTGTCCTTCGGATTGGCTCGTACTTGGATTGGCAAAATATTGACAAGTAGTAGGCTTAGGTTTTGGAAAGTATATCAACTATAATATTTTCCTGGGACGTCAGTGTTTCCGTCCGTCCGTCCGTGTGCTGCAAGATTCAACTCGAAGGGGAAATGAGCCAGAGCTTACTTTAGGTCTCCTCGTGTTCTGATAGAGCGCGGTCAGAAACCCCAAATTAATAAAAAAATCATGAAAAGGTTTTTATTTAAATTATTAAAATTAACTTTATAAAATATGGGCTATGATACGGTGGGCACCGTATTCCCCTTCCGCCTATAGGATACGGCGGATCAAAAATCATATACGAAATGCAAATCCCCCAAAAAAGACAAATTGTTTTTAAATCCTGAAAGTGTATATAGGAGCCCTTTCCGTGACGGTTTGATGCTTACGCGTTAATTTATTTGTTGGCGGGGGAAACTGCCGACAAGGGCGAAACTGATAATCAAGGAGATTTGTGCTGCCCAAACTCTGCATAGGCCATTCCACCACGTGGTGGTACACAACCATTCAAAAAGATGCATCGAACATCGAAAATTTATTATGCTCAAAATCACGATCACAGCTGTAAACCCTATCGATCAATCCTCCAACGGCGAATCTTCTTCATCCGGATCCTCTTCGTCATCGTCATTTGGGCTCGTCTGCGCTTCGGAATCGCGTATTTCAGGCGAGGATTCCGACTCTTCTTCGCGTGAATCTAAAAACCAGCGCGCATAAACTTGCAAAAAAGAAAACTCGTGAGAAATAAAGTTTTTACCTCCTCGATCATCAGGGTCTCCGTAGTTCGCCATTAGCGTAATTTTTATTCTTTCGAAAATCGAGGGATTTCGGCTATTCAGAGGGAGAATAAACCCTAAAAGCTTCAACTAGTAAAAGTAATGTGTAACTAGGAATTCAAGGACAAAATTGGGTTTCGGGTGTTTCCGAATAAGCCGCATTGCTGATATGCCTCCGGTCCGGCCTTTTATCGGGGATCTTGGAAAAGGCGGCGAAAACTGAGCGTAAGATTCTGATTTTAGCGCGTCAGTTTCATCTTTTGTGTGCAAACTCCAAATATAAGCGTAATTCAATGTTTTCCCCTAGTATTTTTGGGACGTTTGGATGATTAATATTTTAAAGGGCTCAAAAGCCAAAAAATTGGCCTCCCCCAGGTACTCGAAAAGTTTCCCGCAATAGATGAGAGGGCATTCCGGGAATAATTTGCACCACCATTCCCGGAATGCTTCCCGGAACATTGCGGGAACATTGCCGGAATGCCCTGAGGCATTCCCGGAATATTCCCGCAATAGTTGAGCCCGGGCTCTGGACCCTCCTCCCAAATCGATTCAGGTCGAGAGCTACAAAATCACATATCGCATGTCCAGAATAGAGCTATCTACGAATTTAGCCAACCTTCCAAAATCTCGGCGACAGAACTTTCGTTCCAACCGGATATATATTTAGCGAATGTCACAACAGTAAATATAACGGCAAGAGCAGCTCCAAAATAGGTGACAATTCAGTCCTAAAAATTGGCCAAAAGCGGGCAGACGAGCAAAGGATTTTGGGGGAATTTCGTAAACACTCAACATAAATAAAACCGAAAAGGATTTAGAAGCCAAAATTAACGAAAAGTAACAAAAATTCTATATCGATTCGGAGTCCCAGGAACGGAGCTGATTTGGATAAATTATTGAGGCAAAAATTAGAATTTCTCGCCCCGGTGCCGTTCAAGTACAATAGTAAATCGTTCCGCACCCGCCCCATATGAAAATGGGCTGGGCGACCTTCGTGGGGCTGCTGTTGATGCAGGTATCTTGGTATTCAAATTAGCTAATATTCAAATTTTTTAGGTGGCCACCGTGAATGAAGAGGAGGACACGAGCGGGATGGAGGAGCCCGAGCAAAAGAAGGGGCGCGGCTCAAGAAAGCAGAAAGAGGGCGATGAGAAGACGGACGTCGGCGTCTGCAAGAAGCCACCCGTCCACCCGTTGCCACGCCCTCGTGCTGTCATCATCTTTCATCGCAACCTGAAGTCATGCGCCATCGTTTGTTTTTTATTCTGGTTCAGGCTAAATCCTCGTTTACCCCCCCGCCCCCGCCCCCGCCCCCCAGCGTCCAATTCATGCGCCAAGGCGCTCAAAATGTTCTCCACGCCAAATACTTGATTACTATTCACCTTTTTTGACAAAAAAAATAATAAACAACAATTTGGGGAACAATTATTGTTGCGGCGCAACTATAGTCTGGCGGGGGAAAGAGCGACGCCACACCCCTCTAGACGCTTACGACTGGGAAAGGCCGGGATGTTAGCCCAATATAACTAATTGTTATTTAAGCTTTAACTATATTTCTTTCTGAACTTTTAGGAAGTATTTGGAACGCAAGTATTTGACGAGGCGAATATTTTGAGATGTTTGGCATTTTAATTGGATGACTGGGAGATCCACGCTGGCTGGGGGGTAGGCGAGTGGAGGGGACAAACTGGAAATCAGCGAGAACAAGGCTTTCACCCAATTGGTGCTTTACTTAGAAATTATAGACGCTGGAGGCAATTCATCATCTGCTGCTCGTCCGGCCCTGGGCGTTTGCCTTCGTTCAACGGCCGTATACCATCACGTTTCTTCCGGTCAAGGTAAGGGATTTGCAAGCTTTACAGTCTTTCTTTTATTTTTAGAACTGGTCAATGACGATGCATCGCGCCGCCATGGTGCTCCTACCATGCACCATCCAGGTTGCCATTCTTTTTGCCCCATTTACACAATCATTTCCAGGAACTGCTCCACTTCGTCTACACCAGTCTGCCGCCACAAGAACTCGGTGAAGAGTCCCCGCCTCGAGATGGCAACGATGAATCGGGCGGGACGTCATACACGGTAAGCCAGGTCTTGGATTGGCCTATGCTTAGGCTTCGGCTTAAGTTATGCCGATTCAGTAGACTTCGAATTAGCTTAGCCGGTTTAGCTTTATTTCGAATTTGGCCTCGTTAGGTTGATTGTTGGACCTAGATATAGGCATGAAATGGGGAGAAACTTTTCTTCCTTTCGTTCTTTTCATGGCAAAAACGTTTGGTTTTATTAGTCAAATTGCTCTTATGTTACCCCGAAAAACCGGATAATTTTACCAAATGGCTTGCTCAATAGCGCTTCTTTCTCTCGATTGGGTTGTTGTTGTTAGTTGTTCTCTAGCCAATGCTCGGAAACACCTAAAATCTGTTTTTTACTGCAGCGACATATCTTCCTCCTGTGATTCTATCACCCCTTCCCCGCTACGCTATAACTACCGTATTGTGTCTGCGAGTTCTGATTAACAATTGTTTCTGAATATGGTCTTGGGAAAGTTCGCCATATAATAAGCTTAAAATTTAACTATATTTTGGATAACCGGTAAAGTCGCGATTTTCACCATTTCCGAATTTTGCAGCCAGTTCTCCTGCCACCAACAGGACTCCAGCCAAAGGGACGCCATCGCGCGGAGCCGGTGGCTCCGTCATACTCCGTAAGCCAGGTCTTCGATTGTGCCTATGCCTAGGCTTAGGCTTAACAGACTTATTCATTAGACTTAAATTAGTTTAGCCGGATTAGGTTTTTAGATAACTTGGCCTCGTTAGGTTGATTATTAAACCTAGAGATCGGCATGAAATGGGGAGCAACTTTTCTTCCTTTCATATATATATATACTTTATTCAGTAGTTGAATAAAAGTGGGCAATGTGTGGTGCCAATGGTTCAGAGGTTGTATAACATGCGGAAACAAACGGGGGAGAGAAGAAAAGATCACAGAAATTGGGACAGGTCCATTTTTTCTAAAGTTACACGAAAGCTCTTTGCATTTCCCAATTGACCTTCTTTGAAGACCCTAGGCGGGAGCTTATTCCAGGTTTTCGCAACTCTACGCGAGAAGAAAGAACGGGGGAAACCTTGCTTACTATGGATTCTCTTCACTTGAAAAGCATGGGCATTCCTTATCGGACGATTTGTGCATTCCAAAAATTTGAAGGGAAAAGTTTCTACAAAAAAAGACTTATAAAATGTAACTAAATCTGCTTCTGTTCTACGGTGCGCTAGAGTGGGAAGTGAAAAGAATTTTAGTCTATCTGGGTAACAGGGTATAGGCTCATTTGGGAACAATTTCTTATAGGCAAAGAAAGTAAATTTACGTTGGACACTTTCAAGTTCATTGATGTTTCGCTTTTTGGTTGGGTTCCAAACCACGGAAGCGTACTCCAAAATCGGCCTAACTAAAGTACTGAAAGCACGCCGGTACGTGATCGCATTTGGAATTTGAATTCTTTTGATAAGAAGGAAGGATATACGAGCGGCTTTTAATCGGATAGCGGCGATATGCGATTCAAAGTTAAATTTCTGATTGTAAGTGATCCCTAGGTCCTTAATCACATTTGTCCTTGGTATCCGGGTATTGTCTACGTAGAGATCTTGGAAACGGGCCGGGGGAATGTTCGTTAGGATAAAAGTTTTGGAGGTTGAAAGCGACATTTCATTTTCAACACACCAGCTTTTGACCGCTTTCGTTCTTTTCATGGCAAAAACGTTTGGTTTTATTAGTCAAATTGCTCTTATGTTACCCCGAAAAACCGGATAATTGTACCAAATGGCTTGCTCAATAGCGTTTTCATAATACAAATTTTTTTCAACAATTTAAGACAACATTTTAGTACCGGATGATCGACGAGATCCCGCGTGCTCTCTTGGCGTCGCCCCGTCACACAACACCACAGCCTACTGCGATTCCCCAGCCGCAACTTCAGGTTCTAGATTGTCATTTAGATTAAATTGTTAAATTTCAGATCATCCACCGGGTCGTCAAGCCCATCGACGACAACGCGAAGAACAACGAGAGCGAAGAGCCCACCAAAGTAAGCCAGACTAGGAGTAGGCTTGGCTTGCGCTTAGCTTAGTTTAGGCTTGGGTTAAGCTTAGCCGGTAGACATAATCCAGATGCAGTCATAATGTAGTCATTCAAATGTTGTGCAATTTAAAACTTATGGTTTTAGGATCCGTTGCTCCCAGCTGAAGTGCCCGAATGCTACGTCTGCAATGCTGAGGCCGGCACCCTGGTGCTGCTGCAGCAACGAATTGGCGTCAAATGCCTGAATGCTCGCAAGTAGGAATTTTAACAGGCTCCCGAATATTTTTGTTTTAGCTACTACCTGAAAAAGCCGCTCGAGAAACGCGCTCACAAGAAGAAGTGCCCGCACAAGGATTTTGAGTGAGTAAATACAAAATAAACAGCTAGATCAGCATAAATTACAATGAAACATTTTTGTTTCAGCAGCTCCCAGCTGCCAACGGACCCGGAGCTGCGACGCACCACGTTGCGTAGGCTACTAAAGGGCGTCTCAATTAAATATCTTCTTGCAGGAGAGTTCGCCGCGACGCGGCTGTGGCTACTGTCGCGTGCTCGTCATCCAACAGCTCCAGGTGTCGTTCTGCATCTACTGATGAGACCCTCCGCCTCCCATCCGCCCCCAAGAAAAAACTCGAATACTCGCCGCAACGTACTTGGTTTCTTTGAATAAACGTGATTCAGAGAGATTGGCGGAACAAAACACGGAAATACACCTGAAAATGCTCTGCGCAAAAACTTCCAAAGTCGCGCTGAAAAGTTTTCGCATGGCAACTAGTTTTCCTGAGATAAAAGGAACTCTGAATTTCTGTAAATGTGAAAAGCTATCGTTTAAAATCGGAAAGCAAATGGCCGAGGAAACCGATGGCCGAACGTCAATTTGCGCCCACCTTCCAACCAGCCACAAGCAACCATTTGGAAAAGTTTCTGAGGTTCCGTCGTCAACCGGCAAAACCCGGATCGCAATAATTTATTATCAGCACACACAGAAAACAGCCCAAAAAAAACACCAAACACTAGAACTCCTTACTCTCTTACCTCTTCGAATTATGTGACCGGTCGGTCCATTAAAAGCAAAATGGAGAAGGGACTCGTTACTGAAATATATTTTTAGTACCATGCGCAGACTGATACCTTAACACAGCCGTCAAAATGTTGATCAAAACGACGGAGGCCGTTAGCGTATAAACGAACATGATAACCGGCAGAAGCCAGCCCTGTGAAGCGCACTAAAATCCTACCTTATATAATTTTGGCGTGTATCTTTGTGTGTGTGTGTGTGTGGATGTCAGTTTCGAGGCCTGATTTGAGGGCCTTCCCGTGTCCAAAATGCCCCAATTCTCCGTCACCCGGGAGAATCGACCCTTCTGTTTCCGATCGCGTGTTCAGAATTTCGATAAAATACAAGTTTACAAAGTTAAAGCCCGTTTTATGCATTTTTGGGGGTCCGGGAGGGCTAATTTGCATAATGCGGAAAAATAGAAATTTCCTCATTCTTGCAAGTGGCACACGCGCGTGTGGTCGGACCGGGGGAGGGGGTCCGAAGGACCCGAGCTATCGGGAAGGCAAATTTCTCATGCAAAGGCCACATTCTAGCGCCCAAGGCCCGCGACGCGGGTTTTTGGCGCTGGTCACCGATAATTTTGGAATGGCGGCTGCTTCAAAGAGCCATTCCAGGGTCACTGTTCAGAGAGAGAGAGAGAGATAGAGATAGAGAGTGTGGAAGAATGAGCGAGAGAGATAGCGCGCGAGATAGTGAGAGCGGGAGCGAGAGCGAGTGTTTTGAAAGTTTTTCGATTGATGATATTACGAAGCCGAAACTTCAAACTTGAAAAAACTGAATTGAAGGTCAAAAATCGTTGATTTTTCAAAATCTATTATGTGTGCAGCCATCTCAGGTCCATTAGGCGCCTATTGAGGTATTATACATACTTTAAAATTCATCTCCTATCGAGATATCCTTCGGACAGACAGACGGAAATTGCTTGCAACGTGGCATACACAACATTGGTTTTTTCTAGATAGTAGGATATTTACCATTCGTCATTGTGGTTGTAGGATGCTAATTTAATTCAATTCAACAAGGGTTTATTAAAAAAAAACGCCACCATGATAAGACCAACATAAACGCGATGGTTCGATCAGTTTCTGTTCAGCTTGTCGTACAGTCCTTCGCATACCTCCTCGTCCATGAGGTCATACGGTGAATCGGAAAGGTGCACGCTTGACCCCGAGTCGCTGTCGTCTAAAAAGTCCGGTACGAGACCGTCCACGTCATATTTACGGTCTAATGGTGTTTTAATAGAAATAAGCTGTTCAATAAATGCGACAACACGGCCGTTTGTGTTCCACTTGCTCACCGCTGTCGTCCTGCTGATCCTGGTCTGCGTAACCTTGGTTGTTGTCGTCCTGATCCCCTGAAAAACTTAAACTTAAACTTTTAAAAAAACTGAGAAACTTATGGTACAGCTGTCTTTCGTTTTTCAGTTCTATGCTATACGTGTAACCGCGTGGATTTGCACATTTTAATGCGATTACTGAAATCACGAGGCGCTTTGATTATTGCTACTGTCTCCATGATAAAATTGACCGCGGGAACAGCGAGGTAGATGTAGTGGACGCTCAAGGAGAGTGCGAAATTTAAGGCACACGCACCAACAAGTCGATTTTTCCGCAAAAATGCGTTTGCTCAAAAATATGGCCTACCGTCGTCCATCTTCGTAACGTATCGCGAATTTATGGAAAATTGGGTAGACTATCCCTAAAAATCGATTTAATCTGGATGCTGTGAATATGAAGGAAATAATCGGTGAATTGAGAGGAAAATAGGACTTTAAGAAAAATTGTAGAAAGGGTACGGTAGCTTCTACGCCGCCCCGCCGCAGCTTTTTCAAGTGCAAACAAGCAAGAAAGAAGTCGCGTCGAAGATGCGTTCAGCTCTTGCGCCTCTCAAGTAGCTGCTTTCATCCCAGTGTTATCTCGATTCGCCTATTTTTAACGTGTAAGTCGAATTCGAAGGGCCATTTGGGGACATCATAATGGCGGCTTCCGGCGGCACTTTCAAAGGAGCAGTAAAAGCAAGTGTCTGATACGCGGTCGCGTAGCTTTCGAATTTTCGCTTATCACGATTAGGCCACGCTGGTGTGGCTTTTTGAGGAGGCTCTCTTGGGAGACAATAACAATAATCACATCAAGCATGTCATCCGAATGTTCTTGGTGCTATAAAGATTTTACAGTATAATTCGTAGTATGATGATCTGATGATTGAGACCAATGCGACGAATTTTTAAAAGTGAAATTTATAAAGCACAAAATGAAACCAATGATTCAAAGTTCATCAATCAATCCTCGAAAGGCGAATCCTCCTCATCCGGATCCTCTTCGTCATCGTCATTTGGGCTCGTCTGCGCTTCGGGGTCGCGTATTTCAGGGGAAGGCTCTAAAAATCAGGATGTATAAATTTGTAAGATAGAAGACTTGTATGAAATAAGGTTCATACCTTCTCGATCATCAGGGTCTGCGTAGATCGCCATTAGCGTAATTTTTATCCTTTCGAAAATCGCGGGATCTCGGCTGCTCAGAAGGCAGAACCAAACCTAAAAGCTTGTGTAATTAAGAATCCAAGGAAGAAATCGGGAGTTTAGATGTTTTCGAATAAGCTGCATTGCTGATATGCCTCGGCTCCGGCCTTTTATCGGGGATCTTGGAAAAGGCGGCGAAAACTGAGCGTAAGATTCTGATTTTAGCGCGTCAGTTTCATCTTTTGTGTGCAAACTCCAAATATAAGCGTAATTCAATGTTTGCCCCTGATATTTTTGGGATCTTTGGGCGATTAATATTTTAAAGGGCTCGAAAGCTGAGCTACGCGCTGAAAAGGATCGTTTTAGTGAGACTCGAGACTAAGCTTATCTTGTTGTTCAGAGGTTTGATTCCGAACCTGTTTTCCATTTTTGCCAAATAGCCAAATCCAAAAAGTTACAGCGATTTTAAAGTCATATTTGAGCCCGTGGCAAGATGCCCAACTTTTTATTTGGATAGGGCAGTTTATTTGTAACAGCGCATCTTGTCGAGAATTTTTTTCTGATTCGAATGGTAATATCATTAGTGCGCTACTACCTATCGACAATCACTTACGAGTATCGCCGATTTTTTTCGATTTTCAAGAGTTTTGAGTTAAGCCGCTCATTCGAGAAAGAGAAATTTTCTGAATACGACAGCGATATTCATTTTTGAGAAATCTGCTAGGAAAGTCAAAATAAATGGCATTGAAGTTTGCAAATTTTCAAAAAAAGTGACACTTTCAAAGTCTATTTCTAAATAGCTCGCCAAAACGAGCTATTTGCCAAACATTAAAGCCGGATCCGGAATCAGCAACAAATTCTGCCCAAAATAGGCCCGGTCCCATGCCAAAACGCCACGTTAACCTTACGTGGTTCCCTTTTCAGGTAAATGTTGCTGGAACAAAAAAAATGGGTAAAACGCTTGGATTTTGGCTTTGACATCCTGAATTTCTTTTGAACTTTGTAGGCGAAAGAGGTCAATACTGGCAGCAGTTGATTAACTTTTTAATCTGACGGGAACGAACCTTGCGACGTAAATGATGGTATTGTTTATTCGAGGGCGAAGCAAATTTGGCAAATACGTGCTAACATATGGCAAACCACAACATAAAAAATTGACGTATTTAGCAGCGGAAGCGGAGGGGGTTTTGGGTATAGCGGGAATGCATCGTCCAGGCCTTACCAGCCGTCCCCGTTAGAGCTCGGGAATGACGGGAAGGTGGGCCCTGTACAGTTGGTACCGATCCGTTCTTCTATGATCCATCCTGGGGGGACGAAGGTGTCGGACGACGGGGTCACGAAGTAGCGAGACGGCTGCGTAGAGTGCACTAAAACTTGAGGAGTGATAGACAAAATTTAGCCCCGACAAAGGAGCCCTAATGGGATAATGGTGTCCCATGTTAAAGGGCTGGGGGGAAGATGGGCCGGCGTCCGTCGGGGTGACGGACCGCCGCGGCGCTACCATCGACACTTTCTCTCGCGTAAGCGTCCAAAACCTCTCCCTCGTTTGAAAAAACCAGTTTATCGGCTATAACTTTTTCATTTAGCAATGTTTTCAACTAAAAATTTCCGTAGATCGAGGACTTATTGATACGCATTGATGGTAAAAATTTGAGCCGGATTGGATAAAGGCGGTCAATTTCTAAGCCATACGGGGTTTTGGGACACTGTTTCGGCTGAAAAAGAGGCGCATAGACAGCAAAACATCTCTAGAAATTTGCAAAGTACGTTGCTATCCGCTAGCTAGGTTTTTTACAACATTTTTTTAGCTATTATCGCCATGAAATTGCTTTATTTCTAATGGCAGTTCTTGTACAGGTGGCGAACTGCCCTAGGATATGCCCCTCTCCACTCGACTCTTTGGTGTACTGGCTAGCGCCTCGGACTGCGGGGCGGACCATCCTTCGTTCGACCCCCCGTCCGGTGCGACCCTCTTTGCTCTTTCAGCAATTCCATCTTTCTCCGGACCTTTAATTATGGCATACATGGAACCGAGGCTGGTCAGAGACCGATGCGGCTAGCTCTTGGCAAGACGCGCACGATTCCGCGCTGCTTTGCATAACGTAATCGATGCGCTTTTTGCAAGTTTTTGATGCCGCCTGATTTGCCGGGTGTCGCAAAAAAACCCCTCCTGGAATGTGGATGCCTTCTATCCGACCGGACTCACATTTTTACCTGCGCTGGGGACCTATATAAACCAGTTGCAGACGAATTTTCGAAGCAAAACAATAGAAAAGACAAAAGCTATAGCTGACAAACCGGTTTTTAAATGTTGACACGTGTTTTCAAAGATATTTTCGCGATTAGCATGCAGATTTTGGGTAATTTGACGACAACTGGTCATTTTTGGGCTAGTGACTGACGATTTTGAGGGTAAAACGTGGTTAAAACGTTCGATATAAACGCTACATTTGTGAATCACAAAATTATCTGGATAGACCAGCGCCCAAAACCCGTTCGCGGGCCATGGGCGCTGGAATGCGGCCTTTGCATGAGAAATTTGACTTTCCGATGGCTGGGGTCCTTCGAACCCTTCCCCCCCCCCCCCCCGACCACACTCGCGCGTGT